TTCTTGAGTGTTTAAGTATTTTATTCGGCCAATAAAGGGCAAATTGGATAGTAGAACACTTAAGTATGTTTTTGATCCTCCTAGAACACTTAAGGATATATAAACATACTTAACATTGTTATACTATATAATGCACAGTAGTTATTAAGAAAACATACTTAAGTGTTCTACTATCCAATTTGCCCTTTATTGGTTGTAAATGTGTACATGGGAAATCAAATGTTTTAGGAGGATTTTTTGTGAAGAAATTCCTCTTATAGAAGGATTTAGTGAGATAGGTTAAAGGGCTTTTGAAATTAATTACCCTAAAAAAATATTCTACTAATCAAATATACCAAGGTTAGGCTAACTTTTTACTTATGCTTCATCTTCCATTAATGCATAGATATCACTCTGCATGTCTTGAATTAGGTTTTACAGTAAATATGGATTGTGTTTTGGACGATTTACTGCTGGTGGTTCCTTACCATCTTAACACAATTATATTGAAGCAATGGGGTTAAAGTTTCTAATGTATTCTAGCAAGAGCCAATTGAAATGGATTCTTTTTAAATGTGAAGAAGCTTGTATTATTACATTTTGAATATGCTGCTCAGTACATTTTATGTTTGATGTATCCTTTTCTATCTTTTGGATATATATTTCATTTTTTGAAGCTTAAATAGGCCAAAAGCTTTATTATATTCATTGAATAATTTTTTATTTAGCGAACTACCTGGTGTTTCTTATGCTGTTGGCTGATTCTTGTTTGCTTAATCAAATAAGGTTAGTTGGCATTTATCAAATCATTCATCACATTCATCAAATCGTTTATCCACCTTAGCTTAAAAATAAGATTCTTCTTTCTGCCATTGGCTAGCTACTGTTGCTATTGCAAGTGCAACCTTTTCAACTGCTGATGTTGGATACAACCACCACACACAACCTATCTACTACTAGTCACTTTAGCTGTTCTCATCAGTCACCATTGCACCCTTGTTACTCTTGAACTACCTGCTCATTTTGGGGTTAAGATATTATAAAAACAATGTGATAAATACATGAATCCTTTTTCTCCATTGCGTCCTATTTAGTGTCATATTTTCATTTAGTTCTAGTAAATTAAGATCATTTTTAATACAATAAGCCCAAGTCTTCCTAGGTCTATCTTTGCCTTTCTTAACACAAGTCAAATTTAAAACACCTACTCTCCTAATCAGATCATCTAATGGTCGACGTTTAATATGCCCAAACCATCTAAGACGACTTTCTCTAATTTTGTCTGTCACAGGAGCTACACCAACCCTATCACGAATATATTCATTCCGCATTTTGTCTCTAAGTGTAAAGCCACTCATCCACCTAATCATTCTCATCTCGGCAACACTTAACTTATTATTATGCTTCTCTTTTAAAGACCAACATTCAGTGCCATAGAGCATTGCAGGTCTCACCACCGTCTTATAAAATTTTCCTTTCAGTCTTAGTGGTACTTTTCTATCACACAAAAGACCCGAAGCATTCCTCCACTTCAACCAACCAACTTGAATTCTACTATTAACATCCCCATCTATATCACCATCGCTTTGGACAACGGACCCAAGATATCTAAATCGTTCACACCTTTTAATAATTTGATCACCCAAAGTCACACTTCTGTCACTAGAGCTATTACTACTAAAATTACATTCCATGTATTCAGTTTTAGTTCTACTTAAATGAAGGCCTTTAGACTCCAATG